CCTCGCGGCCGCGGTCCCGCCCGCCACCGGACTCGCGTCGGCGGCGCGGCCGCGGCCGGCGGCCCCTCTAGCCGCGGCGGGGCAGATGCCTCTGGGTCAGGTTGGGCCGCCGCCGCAGCCGCAAGGGGCGCCGCAGCACCGGCCCGCGGCGCCGTCGCAGCAGCCGCACTGCCCGCCCGCCGCCCACCCCGGCGCCCACCCCCCCCTCCCTCCGGGGCACAAGAAGCGCATCTTCGCCGTCGGCGGGAGCGGCAGCGGCGAGGCGGGCCGCGCGGGCGCGGGCAAGCCGCCGCGGTGTTGCAGCTGTGAACAGCGTCTCTTCACACCTCGAGCTGTGAATAGGTGCGGGCAAGCCGCCGCGGTGTTGCAGCGAGCCGGGCGGGCTCGCCTCGATGGGGTCGGGCAGCGCCGCCGCCGCTGCGGCCGCCCCCCCCCCGCCGGCGGGTAGCGGCGACCGCGTCGGCGATCGGCTCGGCTTGCTCGCAAGCGAGTGGAAGGTGCAGCAGTCACTTGTCCAGCTGCTGCTCGACTCGCTCGCACGGTCGGCGCCGGTGGCCGCGGCGTCGGACGCCCTGCGCGCCGGGCCGACCACCTCCCCGCCCGAGCCCGCCCGCCCGCCCGCCCGCGCGCTGCCCTCGCGCCCGCCCACGCCCAGCTCGGCCGCGGGCGGGGAGGCGGGGGAGGCGCAGCCGGCGGCGGCGGGGCAGCCGGCGGCGGCGGGGCAGCCGGCGGCGGCGGGGCAGCCGGCGGCGGCGGGGCAGCCGGCGGCGGCGGGGCAACTGGCGGCGGCGGCGGGGGAGAGCACCTCTGCGGCGTCGGCGTCGGCGCCATCCCTCGCCGGCGCCAGCCTCGCGGGCGAGGGCGACGCTCTGCGGCACGGGCGCGACGCAGAGCGGTTCGCTTCACTCGCGCGCGAGTTGCTCGAGTTGTCGTCGGAGAACACGCGGCTGCGGCGCGAAAACATGGAGCTGCTGCGAGACTTGAGAGAGGTGCGGCTGAGACCGCCGCCGCCGCCGCCGGTGGCGGGCCGCGCAGCGTCTGCGTCGCCGCTCGAGTTTGCGCCGCCGCCGTTTGCGACGCAGCAGCCGGCGGCGCAACACGCGGCGCTGCAGCAGCAGCAGCAGCTAGACCAGCAGCAGCAGCAGCAGCAGCAGCAGCAGCAGCAGCAGCAGCAGCAGCAGCAGCTACAGCAGCAGCTACAGCAGCAGCAGCAGCAGCAGCAGCAGCAGCAGCAGCAGCAGCAGCAGCAGCAGCAGCAGCAGCAGCAGCAGCAGCAGCAGCAGCAGCAGCAGCAGCAGCAGCAGCAGCAGTTGGCAGCGCAGCAGGCGGCCCAGCAATATTCCACGGCAGTGCACGGCGACCGCTACGATGCGCAGCCTGCCGCCCTCGCCGCGCCAGACAGGCCGCCGCCCGACGCGTCGTAGGGGAGGGAGAGAGGTGTGCTTGCCGCGGGCACCCCGCTCCCCTCAACAGCTCCCCTCAACAGTCGCACTTGCAGCTCATCGCGAGCACGCCGTAGGCTGACGACCATCCCAGCCGCTCCGGCGAGGCGCAAAGGGGGGGTTCCACACTACTTTCCGGTGCGAGGCGAGCTCGGCGGCGGGGCAGCGCGGGGTTTCGGGTTTGCCGACCGCTAGTTGCCACGTGGATGATCTTAGTTCTCGCGTCGACGACTGGATCGTGTGTGACTTTGTCTAGTTGTTTGGAGGGTTCGGACGGCTCGAGCTTGGAGCTTGTGCGTCGTGTGCGGACGTCCTGCTTGATGCTTGCTACGGCCATATACAGTGTGTGTTGCTTTGACGACAGCGCTTGCTGCGAGTCAGTTTTACTCTTTTGAGCGCGTGACATGGGGCTGGGCCGAGCGTTTTTGATATCTCGGTGAGTGGGCGCCCGCCCGCCGCCTCTGAGGGGGTCGGGCCCCCTAGACTGAAAACAAAAACAAAGTAGAAACCGTCAAAACAGGAAGTTTTCTTGTAAGCCTCGTTCCAAGCGGGGCGCAAGACTCTTCCTCCTGCCTTCGGGCCCTCTCGCCTTCGGGCACCACGCACTCTCACACGCCAATACACGCGCGGCCGGCGCCCCTCATGCCCTTCCCCACGCGACACCGCGTGAAAACTGCGCGTACGTCCCCGCGCGCACGCAAACACACGAGCAGCGCTCAGAAGCCTGTGTCATGTGCGTCTGCCCTGTGCTGGCACCCCATGGCTGCGCCAGCCGCCCGCACCAGCCACGCACCTCTCGCACCATCAGAGCCAGCCGCACGACCACTCACGCCGCGACGCGCGCGCCGCAGTGAACCCCACTGACAGTCCACGCCCTTTGCCAGGCGCCTACCGGGTGCACCGGGACCCAGCTGTGAAGAGTCCGCAAGGGTCCGTGCCAAAATGGCCAAAATCGAGCCTGGTTTGGCCGACTCTGCAGTGGCCGCAGGCGGTGATGGCGGACGCCGACGAGCCTCACGCGCCGGGCCCCACCTCAGACAGTACCTCCGGTGGGCTGCATCCACTCACTGCGGGGCTGCTCGCTCGCCATGATAGTCAACGTGCACTGACGGCGACCGCCCTCTCGAAGCGCCCTGCTGACTGGCCAGCCGCCGAGCAGGAGCGAGCAGCCGTTCGAATCCGCGGTGCAGCGCCGCGGATGGCGAACCTCGAGCCGGTGGAGAAGACCGCGGTCGTGTCGGACTCGACCGGCGCCGATGCGGCGCCAGCAATTCGGGCGCGGCCGACTCGCTCCAGTTCGGCGCAGCTCGCCTTGGAGCCCACCGCGCTCTTAAATCGCCTCGAGACCATGCTCCTCGGCAACCATCCCGTCCCCGCACCCTCCAACGAGGTCAGCATCGTCGGCGAGGTCACCAACGGCATCATCATCGCCGCGAAAGCTGCCGTAAACACGCTCTTTTTGTCGCACCAGCGGCGCGGCGCGCTGATGGCTCTCCAGATAAAGAACCTGAAGAAGGCTGCGCTGGCGTTCCTTGTGTGGGACCTACGCGGCGAGCTGGCGGGCGCGCGACTCGAGCAGGCGGTCGTGTACGGCAAGCGGCTCGAGACGCACGCGAGCGGCGCGGACAAGGAGTTGGGCAAGTGCAAGCGGCGGCAGGCGGGCGCGGAGGCGCTTCTCGCTGTCGTTCCAGAAACGTTGCAGGACGTGCCGGGGTTCCAGGACAGCATTATGGCTGCTGCGCCGCTCACGATGATCGCACCGCCACTGGCGCGGCCATGACCGGCTCCGGGCGCATGTTCGTGTGGCCGTCGTGGCAAGACTGCATGAACAATGTGGCCGTCGCGAACAAGCTCAAGGGCGTCGTCAACGCGGATCGGTTTCCGGCCTCTGGCGGTACCCTCCATACGGTGGCGCGGTGGCCGACCGGGTTGGCACCCAGTTGCACGCCTCGGCCGTCGCCAACATGGACGCCAACACGGGCGGGCTCTCGTACGATGGACTTTCCACCGGCTTCATGGTGAAAGGGGAGTCGACCATCTCGGATCCGCTGTGAGCGGCCCGCCGGCGTTGTGGCCACACCCAATGCTCGGCGCACGCTCGTTCACACGCCCGCGTGCCGCAGCTGCAGACTGACTGAGAGAGAGAGTGACCCTCGCTCGCTCGGAGACAGACCCGTGTTTACTTTACGTGGCCCTATCCCTGCGAACGCGCACCCCCCAAGGGTCAGGGCTTTCTAGCCCGATGCCCGAGCCGATCTCAGCCGGCCCGCTGGGTGCGCTTCTTATAGCTCCCCGGCCCTGGGTGTGAGGTTGCCGACTGCACTCCAAGTGCTCCACGCCACTCTCTCTCTCCACCGGGCACGGGACTGGCGCGCACTGGCACTAACACAGGTACACCAAAAGAATTCTGGACCCGACCTCTCACAACATCCACAACAGACTGGCGCGCACTGGCCCCCCCCACTAACACATGCAAAAGAAAGTGCAGAGTGATAATTTGTTGTAACATCGAAAGAAAGCTAGCTCAAAAAGAAACTCGCGCCGAATCATAGATAGACAACCGAAGTGCGTCTTGTGTGTATGTGTGTGTGTGTGTGTGTGTGTGTGTGTGTGTGTGTGTGTGTGTGTGTGTGTGTGTGTGTGTGTGTGTGTGTGTGTGTGTGTGTGTGTGTGTGTGTGTGTGTGTGTGTGTGTGTGTGTAGTGCTAGGTGTAGTGATATCACCCCGTTTTTGCCCATTTTCGGTCGTCCGTCAAAATATCTCAAGATCCAATATAGGATTCTCCCAAAACCCGCTTGCTCAGCTGATCCAAGCATGGGCCGTAGGCCAGGCAGGCCTGGGCCTGGGCAAAGAAACCAGCACCTCATCGCACATCGGGCCGCTTCCCTGAGCGTCACAGCTCGGTGATCGCGCCGGTCGGACACCATTGAGACGGCCGTTCCGGGCATTTGAACGCGACCTTCGGGGGCAAAGACATGGGCTCTATGGCTCAGACTGGATGGATGGACTCCTCTTTCTTGGTCCCTTCTTTCTGATGCCCTAGCTAGGCCACACCTGGGCCTTACCCGGGGTCCTACCTACGGGGCGGGCAGGGTTTGGCCCCCGAAACTGGCATGGGGAACCATAACAAGCAAATCGCTGTCCGTTGCATGTGCTCGGGACGCGCGCGTGTCGCCATGGGAAGGGCTTCATTGACTTCATTCGGACGCCGTGACCACCCAAGACAGCTTGGAGAGCTCCCGGTGACGCAACATTTCGTAACGATCGTCGCTATTGGCCATCTGCCTCCTGCAGCCTCTGTTGGGGCGGAATGCGCGGGGTTTTCGGCGCGAGGGTTAGCCCCGCGTACCGGGTTTCCCCTTAACTGCAGGACGCCCCCTCTACTCGGAGCTACTGATCCGAGAATACGCACCATCCCCACGCGATCCCTTACTCGAAGATAATACGAGAATACGCAGCTACAATTTGTCATGCGTTATTCACCGCCGCTGGCAAAACTCTGTCGATGCTTGCTTTTCCGCGTTGCGGCCCGAACGGCACACGAAAGCGCTTGCGTCAATGTCGCTCCTATGCTCGCTGGTCTTCGGAACACCAGCCAGTCCGAGCATCTGCTCCGCCGACACGCAGTGCGCCAATGATTCGCCTGTTTGCTGCCACGGCACCTGTGCCAAGATTTGCATGAGTGCCTCGCCGCCAAGCCCTGGACTTCCCGAGGAGTGGCTCCGTGAGGAAGTGCCCGGCGAACCCGCCGCCTGCACCGACGACTCGCAGTGCACACAGAAATACGAGACGTGCTGCCGATGGAACGACACCATTGGAGGCTATGGCGGAGAGGGCACGTGTGCTCAGGTGTGCACGCTCTCGAGCGTCAAGCAGTCGCCTCCCCCCACCGCGCCGCCGATGCAAGACGCATCGCCGCCGCCAAGCCCTGGACTTCCCGAGGAGTGGCTCCGTGAGGAAGTGCCCGGCGAACCCGCCGCCTGCACCGACGACTCGCAGTGCACACAGAAATACGAGACGTGTTGCCGATGGAACGACACCATTGGAGGCTATGGCGGAGAGGGCACGTGTGCTCAGGTGTGCACGCTCTCGAGCGTCAAGCAGTCGCCTCCCCCCACCACGCCGCCGATGCAAGACGCATCGCCGCCGCCAAGCCCTGGACTTCCCGAGGAGTGGCTCCGTGAGGAAGTGCCCGGCGAACCCGCCGCCTGCACCGACGACTCGCAGTGCACACAGAAATACGAGACGTGCTGCCGATGGAACGACACCATTGGAGGCTATGGCGGAGAGGGCACGTGTGCTCAGGTGTGCACGCTCTCGAGCGTCAAGCAGTCGCCTCCCCCCACCACGCCGCCAATGCAAGACGCATCGCCGCCGCCGTCCCCTCGAACCTGCAGCGCTGAGCTTGCGTGCCCCAAGGGCGACCAGGGTCAGCTTCTGACCTGCTGCCGCTGGGACGGCGTCAACGCCACCAACGCAGCCGAAGGGCACTGCGGCGAAGCATGCATTGCTGGCAACATCCCCTTCACTGGCGAGTCGCCGCCGCCTTCGGCCTCGCCGTCGCCGTTGGCCTCACTGCCGCCTCCGGCGTCGGCCTCGCCGGCACCCACGCCCTCTAAAACCGACGAGCCTAAGAAGTTCGAGATGGAGGGAAATGAGCCGCGGCGTACCGGTGTGATCGTCGGTACGGTCGTGGCAGCAAGCGCAGGTCTGGCCCTCGCAGCCGCAGCAGCCTACCTGTGCTTCAAGGGCCGCCAGACATCGTCGGACACCATAGACGCCACCGCAGAGAAGGCAGGGCTGGATGCCGTCCAGGCTATCTGAGTGACCGTTCGGATCCAAGGGGAGCGGAAGAGAAATGTTGGCATGTGTACGCCAAGGGAGTGTGGAAGGTCCACCCCGGTTTTGTGTTGCGCGACAGCGCGTGAGTGAGGCCGAGGGAAGCTTAGTTAGCTTCGCGCTCTCCGGTCCACCGGTACCGTCTTGTTAGGCTCTAGCGCGCCGGCGTGACCCGTTCATCACGGCGTTGGCGAGATATGGGGGAGATATGGCGAGATATGGGCGACTTCGAGATTTCTTTTTTTGCAAATCTTGCCCGGCCGCACGCTCCTTGCTTGTTGCCTGATGAGAAGCTCCCTGTCGTCGCTGGCTCCCTTCTGATGCGGCTTCCGCTCCCACGTACCGCACCCGACAAACGGTCGACGCCGCCTGCCGGCTCGGAGCAGCGGCAAACAGCGGACGGAGGCGATAGAGGCGGGCGTTGGACTCCACGGGTGAGCATCTCGGCCCTCCATCGTCATCCACCACCGCCGCCTAGCTCGTCGCCGCCGCCTCCGCTGGACGCACATGCTGCTCTAACGTCGGCGGCGGTCAGTCTCCGCTCGAAGAACACAATGAGGACGCCACGCTGGATATCCCCACGCTCGCGGAAGCCAGCGCCCTCCGAGCCGGCGTGTGAATGTTGCACCGACGGCGTGTCAGAGCTGCGCCTGAACCAGCAGGGTTCGCTGGTCATCACGCTCCGACGAGCGACGGGCCTGCGCCGAGCCGACGTGCGAGTGCTCGGTGGAAGCTCTGACCCGTACGCCGTCGTGGCCGCGGCAGGAGGCGCGCCCGCCACGAGTAGCACCGTCAAGTCGAGTCTTTCTCCAACCTGGGAGGAGACCCTGCGGCTCGCTGGCGGCATCGCGTTCCGCGAAGTGCTTCGCCACCCTCTGACTGTGACCATCATGGACCGCGACACGAAGAAGATCCGCGAGCTCCTCTCCTCCTCGGACGACGTGCTCGGAACGGTCTCGGCGTCGCTATTGCCGGTGCTTGGGCGACAGAAGGCCCTCCGCTGCAGCGACTCGTTCGAACCTCCCCTCCACGCCATAGGCGCTCGCCGACGAAGACGCTGCCGACCTCGTGCTGCCCTTGTCTCCTCCCGGCCGCGGGACAGTGTACCTTCGCGTCGAGTGGCGGCCGGCGGCGGTGACGTTTGAAGTGTGGGATTCTTCGCCAACCGCGCAGCCGCCAGACCCGCCGGTCGAGGTTGTCCACCGCACGACGGGGGCGGGCGTCGCGGAAACCAAGGCGTCGCTGCTCGAGGCGTCGCTGCTCGAGGCCTGCTATGATGATGCGGGGCAGGACCCCAGCGACGAGGCGCCGGAGGACGAGGCACCGGCGAGCACGCGGCAGTACGGCACCGGCTGCTGCATCTGCTGCATCGGCTCGCACTCGCAGGCGCAGAGAATCATCGTTCCCTGTGTGGTGATGTGAATCTGCAGAATCTGAGAGGAGACTGTGCCACAAGGACAGCTGTGAGCTCGGAGAGCTTGTGACAAAAAGACCCTGCACAACGATCGCACGGCCACGGGCGGGGACCCGTTCCTTTTTTCCCATCTCCTAGTAAAAGTCTCCGTTTTTATTTATTTACAGAGCTCTGTCCTCTGAGAGAGCTTGAGTCATCCCTTGAGGGGTTCGGGAACGCAGGTTTCGGGAATAAGAAGTAATATTGACGGCGTCGCGGGAGAGACACGCGGAGAGTGGTCCGGTTTTGCGGCCGTTCGGTCACAGAGAGTTTCACCTGCGCCCGGAGTGCGCAGGGCCTCCGCTCTTCTATCAGCGGCTATTTACTTCAAAATGCTCACAACGGGCGCGGCCCTCCTTGAGCTCCTCCATCATCCTCGCCCACCCTTACCGCCGACCGCGCCGCGGCCCCGCTCGGGTTGTCGTCCCTCCCCACGCCCAGCTCTGACGCTGCGCGCGCCGCTGCGGCGTACCGCTCGCGCGAGAGCGGCGCGCCCTCGCCCACCTCAGTCAGCGCGCCGCCGTGCGCCGCGCGATTCGCCTCCTCCACCACCTCCGCCGCGCGCATCCTCGCCAGCCAGCCCAGCAGCGAGAAGGCCTTGCTCACTCTGCCCCCTCCGCCGCCGAGGCCCCACCGGCCGCAGCACCAGCGCTGGAAGGCGCCGGTGCCGAGGCCGGAGGCGCGCCGGCGGGCGTGGTACTTGTCGTACTCGGCCAGGTCCATCCGCCCCGTCCGCTCGTCGGCAAAGCGCCGCCGCTCCGACTCGTTCGAGCCCGCGACGGCCGCCACCGCCTCGCCGCCCGCCCCTGCCGCCTCGTCCGCGGCCTCCGGCTCCGCGCCGGCGTCGTCGCTCGCCTCGCGCTCCTCCACCTCGTCGCCCAGCAGCGCGTGGCTGCTCGACGGGTCCGACTCCGCATCCGCGCTCGCCTGCTTGCGCGCCGCCGCGAGCAGCGACGCGTGCCTCGCCGCCTCGAGTGGGAAGAGCTCGACCAGCCGCTCGAAGGCGATGCCGCCCTCGGGCCGCCGCACCAGTGGAAGGACGCGCGAGAGCCACGCCGCGACGTGCGAGAGCAGCTCCTCCACTGCCCCCGCCGACGGCTCGCGCGCGTCGCCATGTACGTACATGACGCTTGCCAGCGAGCTGGCCACCTCCTCCTCGGCGCTGCCGGCGCGCGGGCGCTTAGTCAGGATGGAGAGCATGCTACTCGCGCCCGCCGCGCCGGAGGCATTCTCCTCCTCGGCCCGGCTCTGCTTCCCGCCGGTGGGCAGCGGAGCCTCGCTGCTGCTGGTGGCCGCCGGCGGAGGAGCGTACTGGTGGTTGGCGGCGGCCTTGGCGGCCGCCGCCTTTTGCTTGGCGGCCTCGTTTTTCCGCGCGAGGTCGTCGAGGAACTCGCGCAGCTGCTGCAGCTCGGCCAGCGCGGGAAGGCTCTCTTCTGCCGCCTCGAGCGTGGAGAGCGCGCCGGCGACGCGCTCGCGGAAGAGACGCATCTTCTCGCAGCTGCTCTTGGACGGCCGCGACAGCAGGCCGCGCAGCATCGGCCCATGATCCGCGAGGAGGCTGTCGCGTAGCTGGTGTGCTTCTCGCGCCATTCTGCTCGATTGCGAGAATACCAGCGCGGCTGCTACGCTTCACGTTCCAAGCATTCATCTGTCTAGCGTCCACCCATACCGCGTTGGTGTCCAGTCCGAGCCTGGCTGTTCTTCACCTTTCTACCTACCTACCTACTAAGCATTGAAGAGGGCGACCGCGAGGTGGCACGAAGGTTGCAGCGAGAATCGGAGAGAGAATGCGAAGAGAGATACTCGCATAATGTGGGTAAACGAAAAAAGTAGCGCCCAATTCGTCTACGTACGGCTTAGTGTGTGGTTGGGGTGGCCTCAGGCATCCCCAAGGGAGCCTCTGCGGTGCCACATAAGCAGCTTAGTGATTGTCGAGACTTTAAGGGATTCGTTTGAAGATCTCGCAAACAAGACAGACACTACTATGGTCACCAGTAAACGAAAATTCGACTTTGAGGGATAATATCTCAACAGACTGGGTGAGAGCATAGCATTATTATTGCATATTAGGCCGCATAAGGTCAGACTTGACCCCACAAGCATCCAGAACCCGATGCTCCGGCTCGACTGTGCCGGCACACTGCCTCCTCGCGCACGCGGCTCTAGCAGGCCGTTGCGGCCCGTGGTGCACCAGAGAGAGAGGTCGACGCGTTGCCCCCGCTGGCGACCCCGCGCGGCTCAGGCCGGCCAGAAGGTGTGTGGTGACGGCACCGTGGCAGGAGTGCGGAGATGAGCTCGCCGAACGCGAGCAGCAGATGGCCAAAGTGTGCCAGCGCGAGAGCCTCGCGAGCGGGCGCAGAAGGAGCTCGCCGTGACACGATGCCGGGCGGTGGTGGTGCTCTGGCGACTGTGCACAGTGGGCAAAGTCAGGCTGCAACAGGGCAGCACGATGGTAGTGCCCTGCTGCAGCCTGGCCTGACATGCACAGGGCGAACAGAGACACTACTATCGTCTGGCGCTCGTCACCGAATCTGGGCGAACTTCGACCGCCGCCACAGCTGGCCACGAGCACGCAGCGACAAAATGCTGACTGTACGGAAGTTGAGGCTGGTCGAGAGGAAGAGGCTGCCGTGCGAGCCGGCAGCTGGCTGCCTCAGTTGTCTCCGGCGTGTTTTTTCGGCTTCTTCATTCTTGTGCATGGTGCGGAGTGCATGTAGGTATATTGTTGGCATGGTGCGGAGTGCATTGCCGTTCTTAACGGAGTCGCTTAGGCGGCTCCGGTGGTGAGCCTGTGTGTGTGCCAGTCCGCGCCAGTCTGCGCCCTTGTCGTGCCAGTGTGCTGTGAGAGAGGCTTGTATCTTAAGAATTCTTCATTCATAGTAGCGTATACGCTACTTTCGTTTACCCACATTCTGCGAGTAGGAAGAGGCGGACGCCCAAGGGTGGGCGACGGCTTGCGCACCACACCCCTCTCCTTAAAATCCCTGTGTGTGTGGTGGCGGCGTGCCGTCCTCCCATCCCTCCCTTGGGTTGTCTGTTTTCTTTCTTTCTTTTTTACGTTCCAAGCATTCATTATGAGGATACATTGGGAGACTTCCGAGCTCTCACGCCGCGCGTAGGGCCCTTAGGGGCCTAAGCACAACCCCCTCTCCGAAGAAGGGCGGAAAGACTTTGAACAAAACAAGTCTGTCTCACAGCAGACAGGCTCGACACAGGTGCGAACTGGCGCGTACTAGTACTATATCACAGGCACACCACCGGAGCCGAAAGACACACAGTAAGTTGAAGGGTCCGTCTCGAACACGCGCCCGATACGCGTTTCGTGTGCAGACTATAGTCGAGCGCGTCGGAGAGGTGTTTCGACACCGAGTGTTTGAACGTTTCTTCGCAGAAGAAACGTCGAGAGAAAAAATCTCT